ATAGGGAAAAAACAAAAAATGCATTTGACAAAATTTTTTCAAAATCTTTATCGATGTAGTTCTCTCTTAAAGTTCATGCAAATTTAATACACTTTGTTTTTGATTGATAGTTTAGATGATGCTCTTCAAAAATGTATGTTAAATATCTTTCCATGGTTGAATACGACAGAGATAAATGGAACACAAATGAAAACATGCGGAAGACTTCTTCGACCAATATGAACCTGTATTATGCCTCGAGTTCCCTAAGGTCTACGAGGAATGTACCAGTATTTTTCAACTCATCGTCAAATGGTTTGAGATATCACCAGCCCCATATTACCATTTCATGGTGCAAGAAGATATTCAGGGCAAATATTACTTGCATCATATGTAAATTTCACGCATATTGAAACTTGATAACCGAGGAAGGCATAGCTAAGCTCTCATGGTAAGAAAGTTTTCGATCAAAATTTGAGATATGATTTAATTTTAAAACAAAGTTTTTATATGAAAAACTCACGAAAACTAGAATTTTCGTGCGAATTTGAATAAGAGCACAAATCCTCTGATGATTGCATTAATTTCGTAAGCGTCCGCAAAAATTGTATAAAAAGCATAAAAAAGATGGGATATCACGAATAAAATGTGCATAATCACACTCATTAATCCCGGTCTCCTATGAACGAGTTCACTTTGAATGTAAAGAGAACGTTATTTCGTTAGTAGTATTACTTGAGGATAAAAAGTCTTCTGAATAAGGATAGAGTAACATACCTTTAGAAAAGTACTGTAATTTCAAAAGATTTACGTTTGCTTATTGTGTTGATGTAAGAAATTTAGTGAAGACGTGTATAATACGTTACTAATGTATCGACCTCGTTTAATAAAGAAAATGAAAGTGTTATTTTTTTTATGTGCATATCGAAATAATGTTTGGTTGAAATGCATTCAACCGTATACGTAGGATAATGCATGATCATATATTGTTTGGATAGACGGTTTTTTTTCATAAGAATATTTTCATTCTTTTGCTTATTCTATCACTTATCGATCAGAAAGTGTCAACGACACAGAGAAAGAGAGCTAATCAATGGTTGAAAAAATGTGCATCCAATCATTGCTTTATCTTTTTTCTTTTTGTCGTTGCACAGAATAGTTAAAATATACATGCTTCACAACCATTTACTGTTCTGCTTCATACCGTTAATGTTGTTAAAACAGAGCTCAGAAGTTCCTTGTACCTATGGCAGAAGACATTAGTTTTTACTGCCACTTTTCGAAGTATTTCTTGTCCCTAGTCATGTTCCCTATCAACAATGGGCATTCATAAGTTTTGACCTTAGGATCGTTTCTGATTCTCTCAGAAACCAGGAATTCATTAGGAGCAGTTGCCTCAGCTATAATTGTCGTGAGTATCGTTATTTTGGTTAAGATTTCTTTTTCCAAGTGTTATTTTTGTTTCAGTTGTGGTTTAAATCGTCATTCTGTTGCTCATTTTTGTGGGAAGTCAGCTCCAGAGTCAGTCATATTATAAACTTCAACTTTATACCAAAGTCTATCGAACTGGTTCTGTTTCGTAAGGTCTCTGTCAAGGTAAACTTCTCGTCCAGCTTTAACTCATTGTTCTGTTGCACCCTTCATTATCTTGTTTCTCTTCTGTATCATGGATTCATGAAATTTGAGATGTAATGAATCTTAATGCAGAAATAACGTTGAAAGCATCGGCTGCTCTATTTGGTATTTGTATAAGATTTGATCCTGCATTGACACGCTTTGCTGTTGATGATACAATTGAGATATTAGCTTTTAATATGTTTATTGAAACATGGATAAATGACACATCTTATGCGAGGTATTTTGATGCTTGTGCACCAAAAGAATGTACATGTGCATATCTTTATCGATTTGATACTCTAGAAATGTTAACAACTTTTTTAAGTATATTTTCTGCTTTGTCTGGTGGATTGCGATTTTTCATTTCACATCTGATTTCAACTATTGCAAAAATAAAAAATCGATTGCGTATCATACCAGCCCATGGAGTAAAATATTCAAGGAAACGGACTGCGTAACGCGTTTCTGAGATTGCAGCATGCGTTTCGCAACGTTTTTTCAATACAGGACGCGTTTCACAGCATTCTTACTTCGATAGAATGCGTTTTGCTGCTGTCGTTTTTTGAAACGNGAGATGGAATGGAAGAACGAAACCGAATGCGTATTGCAATGAACGAGTTGAAAAAGGAGAGAACAGGATCTGAATGAGTTTTTGTCGTAATAATCAAATTGGGTAGCGATTTTAAAATCGAATTGAAACGACTGTTCAACTGAGCGAATGATGAATAGAGCTCGTGAGGCGTCAAGTATTGAAAGATTTCGATAAGAATTTCCACAGATAGATCTTCCAATCGGAATGAAATGTAATCAGTAATCTCTTTTGCTTTCTGTGTCATAATAGCAGCAAAATGATCGCTGTTGCAAAGCGAGGCAATGCAACAACAACAAACAGAGGTCATGCATTGTGTCTTTGTATTCCACAGAACCACCAATTAAGTGAGAGCGCTGCATACACACGAAGGAAAAATAGAGAACTGTTAGTGTTATTCTTCGGCTTCACTCATGATTCTATGGTTCCGAAATAGAGATGAGAATTTATTGTTATCTTATTGTTGTTCATAACAATAACTAATTTTGTTATTTGTTATTTATAACAATAACTTTTTTCTACCAGTGTTATAAATAACAAATGTCTCTTTTTCTGAAAATCAACTCGCTGCCTATCTTAGCTATATCATATGAATCAGCACGATAAAAGTTGGAAATTTGTTCTAAAGCATAAGCTTATATAACGAATACAATTACGGTATACAGCAAGGTGAAACAGAATTTTTTCCAGAAAAAACAGGTATTTGTTAGTTATGACAACAACAATAAATTCTCACTCCGAGTTCGAATGGAACGGGTATTTTTCGAAAAATCCAATACTGATTTGTTTTTGATCTGATAGGGGTCTGGCAATTCACTTCATTATAACTGTTCTCAAGAAATCGCCTTTCGTTCAGTCTGCGAAAAGTACCACCAACAATAACCAATTTCAATATTCAGTCTCGATCAGGTTTTCTCTCTACTTAATCTTTACTATATAACTACAGATAAGACAGAAGATCTTAATGAAGAGGTTCTCGATGATATTCTGATATCTGTCTTTCTCCTTCAATGCTCATATCTACCATGTTCACGTGGACGAGGAGATAGCTCTTCAAATCAGTCACTTCTGGCAGTACACAGAAAACGATCCGACTGATTCAGTACTCGATGATCGAATGCAACAGCTGAGTTTTGATTCCTCTGACGACGTGTCTTGCACAGTAATATGGAAGTGTGGATGTGGGTGTTGGTTTGGGTTTGAATGAATAGTATGCTCACACCCACACCCACACCCACACCCACACTCTCATTAAACATTGATATTGAAACAATCGATGGAGTTGATGAACTTTGACATGGATATTGGCAAAATTACATCACGAATAAAATGACAAATTTGGAAGTGAAAAAGGTTTAATTGATTTAAGAGATGAAGCACATAAACGTCTAGTGAATTGCGATTTTTTGTCCTATATCTTGTTGCAATTATTGAAAAAATAAAAAAATCGATTGCGTATCATACCAGTAGAATGACTTACTTGTATTTCAGATAAAAGATTTTAATGTTGTTGCTCATATTTGCTAGTCTATTGTAATAAAAACTCTTCGTAATTGTATCCTGTGAGAAGAATACGATAGTGAGTTCTAATAATGATGGAGAAGACTCGAAAATAATCAAATCGTCTTTAAACTTGATCTTTGGAGAGATCAGAAGACGCTCCAAACTTCAAACAATATAAGAAGAGTTCAACCTTTAGATCTTTTGTGCTGTGATAATAACTTTGTTTCTCAAAATATTCAATGTATATTTAGATAATGATATATATTTAAAAACAGACATCGAACTATGCAATCAAAAAAGTCATCTAAAGAATATCAAGTAAACAATTCGATTATGGTTCATATTTCGAAAAATTAATGAAATACACTTAAAACTTATTGTTTTTTATAATAAACTACTACCATGCTTGAGTATTATATAGGATGTCATAGGTCTCGCACTACCTTTTTGTTTTCGATGACATTTAACAATACTATCGAAGTTTTCCATAATCTTTTTTATTTGATAAAGAGTGTGAGTGTGATGAGTCCAGCTGCAAGACTGATATTCGCACTCTAGATAAGACTTTAAAACATAACGGCAATTGCACGCACAAGAACGATCGAAAGAATGATATTGATTACAATTAGATGCAAAAAATACTGGCCGCCTGATGAACACCAATGAATACAAAAAGTCGTGAACTTTTCTTTGTTGATAGATTCATCCAGTCGAACAGATTCGACTAAAAAAAAACATTATGTAATTAGCCTAGACACTATATATATATATGTAGATGAATTTGGTTATTCTGAAATAAGTTAAATATCAATGATAGGTATGGATCCAATATTTGCTATTGATGTTGAAACAATCGTTTCACCTTATGGAGCAAAATATATAAATGAGATTGAAGTATAGTATAAAGTTTTATTTAATTGAATTGAAATTTTTGCTTTTTTTTTCTATTTAGTCATTAACACAAACGCTTGAGATTTGTTTAGCCGAAGGTTTTATTCATAGTAGTGAAAACAAAGAAATTCTTATTTCAAATCTCAAGAAACGAATTAATATTAATTGTCTTATTGAAAAATATCAATGTAAGTTATTTTAAAAAAACAAAAAAAAAACTTCTATTCATTTTATTGTTCAAGGTGTCATTGATGATGTTAAAGTCTTACAACAATTTGATGTTGATATTTATACGGATAAAGATCTTTTTTTAGCATGGATGTAAGTAAATATGTGTTCTATTTTTTGAATTTAAATTTAAATATTTTTCATTTAGAGAGGCTAGAACAGGTTTGCATTTTCAAAGAAGTATTAATGAACTTGAAATGGCACAAAATAAATGTAATTGTATTCAATCTATTCTTTAATAATTATAGAACGACAAATATATTTTTCATTGTAGATGGTCATGATTTCAAATTAATAATTCGAAATTTGAAAGCATTTAATATCAAGAAATTATTCGAACGGTAAGTTGGAAATCATTTAACTTGACAAGAAACAATAAATCTAATTGCCAGTGTCTCGTTTAAAACGAACTTTTTATTGTAGAAAGAAATTCGTTGATACAACTGATAATGGTGAAGTTTCATCTTGCTAGTTATTTTCATTCATAAAATCTGCAAATAAAAGCCTTTTTTTGTGTTTACTTTTTTAAAATATGTTCAAATCAATTGATTTCTTCATCTCTTATCATAATGTTTATGAAAAAATAAATTCTTGAATAACATATTGCACAATACCTCAATTTCATTTTCAACTGAATGATTCAGTCAAAAAAAATTAATAAAACTGAATGCTATCAAAAAAAAAAGACTAATCAATGCAATGTTCAGTGAATATTTATGCTAAAGCAACCTATGTAGAATTTCTAATCTTAGTCTACCGACTAAGTAAAAAATGTCTATCGAAAAGAATGATTCATCCATGAGAAAAAAAAACTTTATTTCTGGTTTAAAGGCATCTTTTCTGTCTGCGAGACATTTTTTTTTCAACTTAAAATATTGCCTGAAACATCGTTGAAACGCGTTTATTGACACATTTGAATGCGTTTGTGTAGAATTTAGTACAGATGTGTTAGAAAGTGTTGTATTAATTCGTTTTTCACATAGAAGAGAAAATGAGTAACTTTAGAAATGAGGTGAAAGAATATTCAATTTCATGTTTTAAACCAGTATATTATTCTATGGTATAAGAATCTATTGACATTTGGAGAAATGTTTTACAAGATCACACTTGGCAATAAATCGCGTAAATACATCGATTTTAGAGATAAATTTTATGATTATTTATTTCTTGAGCAAATGGTTGTTAAAGTTGTAGATGATGTAATAGTCGCAGATTACAAATATGGAATTTTTCAATGCATTGATTAATTATCCAATAGCATTTTTCCTTTTTTTTACAAAGTTTCTAATCGTCCATATTTCGAGCATTAGTTTTACAATACGTTCAAGGTTTTTTTTTCTAATTATATATGCTATCTTTGCAGATCAGGTAAGGAAACTGTTTTTTTTTCGGACGTTTGTTTTTCATTAAATAGAGTGCATCGTTCATAACGATTTCACTTATATTGAAACACTGTTTTATTCGACAAAATCTATGCATCTGGTTGTAGTCGAATTCTCTAGTGATGTTCGTGTAACAAAATATGTCGATTCAAATTCCATTAATTCAGTGCATATTGTTCGTGATTGTTGTTGGCTTTTACTTCCTTTATTAAATATGTATATTTGAAAAAAAACAAAGAAAAATATTTTAATTTATTGTCAATAAATCAGTTAAAATCATCTAAATGATTAATGATTAACTCGGTATGACAAATCTATTGGGATTCATATGCATTTGTTTGATTTAATGAATATCATGAAATATAAAAATTTTTCCATATTGATTAAAGATGAGATTATCATTGGAGATCTTATGATTGATAGTAGTGAAATATCATCATGTTTCTCTGGAACTTTTTTTTTTCATTACAAAACTCGATATTTATTCTATCATTGTTTGGTTCATTTGGTGATTTAAAATAGCTTAATCGATTGTTAATATTCATTATCTATGGAAATTTATTTTATAATCGTATTAATAAAAAATTTTCGAACATTGACAATATTACAATGTGTCAATCTTGAATGAACTATAGATGAAAACCAGTGATTATTCTTATACATTTATAGTTTTCTTGAAAAGAAATTTATTTGTTTTGTTCTTAGGAATTCCTATAAAACGTACAACTCATTTCTAATGAAGTACAATGAAATAAATGAAGATAGGTTAATTCACAGAAGACTTACACACGGAAAATCTTTCGTAGTACTTTGTCTTTTATAAATCACTTTTTTCCGAATATATTAGCAATATTGTTCATTTTTTTTTTGAAAAAAAATTCATTAGGATTTATATGATTCTTTGAAGTTATTATTTGATAATCTTTAGAATATACTTGATTGCTTGTATGAATGAATCATTAGACTTTTAGTTTTATATTTTCTTCAAAGGACAATGCTTTTTTCTCTGATGAATTTAGATTTGAGTTCTAATGTTTTAATTTCTTTTGAAATCATTTATTTATCAACACAGTTCATTTGATCAATCTGCATTTTCTCATCAAATGTGAAAATCTTTTTATATTGATCAAGCATCAATTCATTCGTATAGTTCATAATAACAATGTGTTTTATCTTGTATGACACTAGTCGAATCAACTTTTTAAAAATAGTTTTTCACAGCTCAACCATTAAATATACTCGATATAATTATACCAATGAGTTTAGTATAAAAAAAAACCATGCAATGTCAATAGATCATCATAGTTTTTTTTTCTATGAGTACATCATTTGTTCAGAATATTTACAATTTCAACAACATTAAAGTAAAGATAAAATTCGATTTTTTTCAATCCAGCATAAGATCATGATACGATTATTTACTATAAGATTTGTCTAATATATTAATAGTCTTTAGAATCTACAGCTGATCTTGATACACGAATAGAAAAAATGAATAAATATGTTTATAATTTTCGTTCGAATATTATTTTAACAAAAATTCAGAGATATCATGTTCAAAAGTAAAATAAACTGGAAGAGCAAATATGAGAAATATTTTGTTCAAGAAATTAAAATTTGTTAAAAGAAATTAGGTTAGCCTTCTCCATATTTATTTACAAGTTTTATAATGTATATTTTATCTTTATTTAAATATCCCTTTCGTTAAGAATGTCTTTTGTTCATGGTGAACCAAAAAATTGAAATCCAAAAATTCAAACGAAGGATTTTCAAAAAACTTTAAAGAGATCATTTTATATCATTTATTTCTTAATTAAATAACAAAAAATAGATTGATCTAATGATTATTTGAAACGGAATGAAGCAACAGTGAGAAATTGTATTTAGTAGCTAATAAAAAAAACATTTGATACCTTTTTTTTGTTAAATATTCCTTTTTCAATAACAAAATTTGATCAACTTTGAATTTAATTTACCTCTATAAAATATAGTTGATAGCTTTTGATCAATATGAAAAATTCAATATTAAATGAAAGGAAAGATTTAACAACAAAATTTTTCTTTTCCTTAATCAACATGGGTGCTTGATTCTAATGAACTAATATCATTATCTGTTCTTTCTCAGAGTTGGTCTGATGACCAATATGCCCGAATGCATAGAATAGTTCTTCGTTGAAGAAGCATGAACATGTTTATTCCTGATCAACAATATCTAAACAAGGCACAATAATTATGGAATCGAAATATGTAAATTATCATGTCCACTCCCACACCCTAGCACATTGTTAGTCTACCTTCGTTTTTCTTACTAATCATGTAGTACCATTAATAGTAGATACATAAATAAAAAGTGACGAAGATAAAAAATCAAAACCCTATTTTCAATAGTACAATATAAATGAAGAATGTGGCTGTGACTGTCAATCATATCATAGCCCATACTGTCGTCTTCATCCTGAGGTTCTTCGTTTCTCAAGTCCACATCTACATTCAAGATGTGGAGAGTAGATATTCTATCGTATGGCTTATTGAAAATAAGATTCTGAATATCTCGACAGAATATAAAATAGACACTGTATGCAATTGAAAACAGACAACAATCATGATAAGCGACATTTTAAAAAGCATAAAGATAATGATTCAAGAGTCAACCTAAAGCAATTTCTTACATATGTACATTATTGATTACGAGTTACTAGTCAATGAAACGACGTTTCAGTGCCGTCCAATATCGATTAATACCAATTAAGAATAACCAAGGTTCTTTAGGTGATTTCATACATCCAGATACGAATGAAATAATCAAACGTGGTAAAGCTAAGATAATTAAACAAGTTGAACTAATCAGCATATGTTTATGATGATAAAATTATTGTTTTTTCAAATGTTGTATATATGTATCTTGTTGTTTAACTGCAACATGTTTATTCGCAATAAGAACGATAATACAAATAGGTGGGATAACTTTAAGTGAAGATGGAACAATAAAATGAAAGATATTAATAAACGAATTATATGTTTCGATATTTGACGGCATTTGTAGAAGACACCATGTTCGCTGATCTTCTTCATCATCAATAGGACGACGATAAATAGGATCATGAAGAAAAGAAATACAAGTATCCGATATAATAATCAAAATTACTAATTTAGCAAATTTTTTACTTGTTGTCAAATTAAATTTAACATCAAGAAAAACAGCAGCACATCGTTCAATAGATACACAAACATGAAACCAATCGGTCATGGCTAATAAGGATTGAAGAATAAATTCTAATGAAATACAGTTAAATAAAAGAAATGACTCTGAACTAACAATAGTCATTTGAGAAAGAATAAGAAACCATACTTTTATATTTAGAAAAATAATATTTAAAATCGATGTAATCGATATTGCAAGAAGATAAAGACCACAACCAGCTTTTCGAGATGATTTTGATTGAAATGTTAATATCGAAAAAATCCCAGAAGTCAAACCTACTGCAAACATTATTGAGATTGTTACAATACTCACTTTAACATATATGGATTGTCCATGTATGGATACATGAGGGCGAATATGATAGCCTAAAATAGCATCTAATACACGACCAAATTGTTATGTCGAAAATTGACATTTTGTGCCATAAAAGCAGTCTCGATGGACGCATATGACTTTCGTTGGACATGTTGGATTATTTTGAAAACATTGAGCTCCAATTTCACAACTATTTGCAGATCCCATACAATCATAAGTCATGTTAAAATTAAAATTAAAACAATTTGCATGTCGTTCTTCTGTACATAGACATATAAATGTTTCATTATCATGAAAACAAACAAGATCTAGATTTTGCATGTATGCAAGATGATAATATTTACCACGATGTAGAATTGAATAATCAAGATTGTTTTATTGAATAACTCTTGAATATCTCGACAATATTCTGATGAAACTATTTGAGTAGAAATTACTTCGGAAGATGTAAAATTATGTTGAAGAACAGTAAGATAAAATTGATTTTCAATTTGACTAAAGACAAGGTGAAATGGTAATGACATGAAAAAAGTCACCGTATTTTGATCGAACCCGATTTTCTTGAACATAGTCGCTCGAATAGGTACAGGATCTACATTGTTCAATTGGAATTTGCGAACTGTTATAAAATGAACCAAAAGAACTTGAGGTATCGGTACATTCGAAAATAATATATCAATTTGGACATCTTTATGTTCACACACTTTACCATAAAATCCTTCTTGACAAACACATGTAAAATTTATAAAAGAAAATCTTTCAGAGTATGGTACACAAATGCTTCCATTTATACATGGTTTCATCTGACAAATCGAGTTCAAAAGACATTGAGGTGAAGTTTTTGTTAAAGGACAAAGACAGATTGATCGATTATTTACAATACCAATACAAACTGAATCTGGTGAACAATCACATTTGTCTTGATGAATAGAAATCATTTCAGGCTGTTTCGATTTACATTTAGAAGATCCAATATCGATATGTCTTTGTTGTGGTGAATTGCATAATGTACGACAACGATGTCGTGCTGGTATTGTCAGTTGAAAAGCAATACGATTGTCAGGCATGAAAAGTAGTTTAACTTGTACTATCAAACTTGTAAGATAAACAAGATTGACTTTCTCATATGCATCAATATGAATTGTATAATTTTTCGTCATGTCCTTTGGTCGATTTTGATAGGGTAAATATATATTAAATTTTATATTACAATCATGAATGGATATATAAGTAAATTGTTCATATAAATGAATAATACCAGTATTATCAATTAATCTGACAATGAGACGAAATAATATCAAGTCTTTCAGCATTTTCATTGCGTACTCGAACAGTAAGACTAACACGTTGATTTTGATATTGACAGCGATCACCATAATAAACCGGTGGATAAAGACATCGTATACTTTCATTTTTGCCATAGACAATTGAAATAACTCGGTAACAGAACCATATTTGCTCAGAATCCATTGTGTTAATGTTCTTGGATTCTTTTATTCGAAGTATCTGATGTTGTACAGTTTTATTATCGGATGATGATGATATTAATATTTTCGTTGGGAATGGACGTGAGGATTGAGGAGAAAATGGTAATTTCTGAAGAAGATGGCGGTTCTCCATAAACCTAAAATAATGTATCGCTTTTTCAAGGTCTTGAGAAGGATTTCGGCATATTTCATCAACATAATATAATCCTTCACATTCGACACAACGCATTGTGTAAATAGTACATTTCGTATTATTCCAACATTGATAGTGTCGGAATCCTTCAGTCGGATATGATAGACGACAAAATGTTCTTTCATCTGTCGCTCCAAGACAATCGATAATTCCATCTTCCGTACGATTAACATGTAAACATCCCATTTTCTTGATGTTCGGAAGCCAACAAGGATGATGATCTGATGGACATGTGAATTGCAATGAACAGTTGATTTCATACTCCGTTACAGCGTGGATATTGATTAACACATGCCCAATGTTCACAATGAGTTTCACCGGTTTCGTTTTTGTTAAAGAAACTATTTCTGTTGCACCATTACATAGAGCAGAGAAAGGAAGCCATTGAATATCAGTTATCCGTTCCTGTCGCTTAGATTCATCTTCTCCACCAATACAATTATCTTGATTGTTGTGGACCATAGTAGGTGATAGACATTGGTTTTCAGATGTACATCGAAAACAATATGTATCATTCAACGAACATGAGTTAGATACGTTGGATTCATCGAAAGCATCATAACAATGAGAAATTCCGTCCATGATATGACGTTTGAGAACACACTTATTCGTACTCAAACAATGTGTCATTGATGGATGTGTACAAGGAATCTGATTGATAGTTTCATACAGATGAAGACAATGAACAAAGATCTTATAAAGATCACGATAAGTTGATATGTTTAGCTTGTGAGTATATAGACATGTGTTGTTATCAAGGTTGAATGTTGGATTAAGAAATGGACATTTATACTTATCAAAACAGACGAAATGTGGTGTATGATTCGTATCTAGGGTGAATGTTTGATTGGAAAAGTAACCTTATCTTACATGTCCATCCCATACAGGAAAATCAGGTGCAAAGAAATAAGAAGGACAATTTTGAAGTTCATTTTTACATTCTTATAAATTTTCACATAGATGCTTATAATTTCTGTCAAGCGTCGTTGTTGAAGATAAGAGTGATATGCAAAGTTCAATCTTAAAGCAACGAGAAAATCGTCTATCCACTTGACTCTGTCAATTCAAATCATAATTAAATACTTGATCCCGATTACTGTGGCATTGATTTGAACGATGTGCTATAGGCCACGGAATATGGCCACCATCTCCACAGCTGAAACTGTCGGGAAATCGACTAGTCGTCTCTTCACATTGAAAGTCTGGGTTTTGCAAACATGGAGTTTCGCTAATTTTCGGAATAGGTTCATCCGATTGATCTATACATTCATAGTTATATGGAGCACGATATTCAGTTTCTAACAAAAATACTTTATCAATACACATTCCATTCAAGCATTGATATTCGTTGTCATCGCATTGATTCATATGAAGTTCAAGATAATGCTTTTCATCTTCGACTTCATCAAGACAATCGATTTTTTCCATCACATATCTCACGCCAATCAAGACATATAAGAGAAGACCCACGATTACATTTCATGTGTGTATAGCAGGAGAATTTTCCATAAACGCTCGATTTCGTTTTCAATTTGAATGTTAGGTAAGCAATGTCCCGAAAAGATAGATCGACAGTAAACCTATACTGACAAAATTGTCCAAACCATGGCACAGTGCAATTATACAATCGTTTTGTTGATAATGAGCTATTCATTCGTAAGAAAATTTGATAGCTTTCGATAATATCGACAGGAGTCGACCATTTCATAAGATTTTCAACAGTAACATTTTGTTTTTTCAATTGATCAAAAATTAATATCGAAGATATTGATCCGTTGATGTCATCATTCTTCTCATTCAAAGATAATTCAATGCAATACTCAATAAGTTGATGACTCCTATGCGACTTCCCATTAAAGTCTTGCAATATTGTCACCAAATGATACAAGCAATCACGTGAGACATTACCATTCATTGTATCGATTGTGTAAAGATTGTATTGCCATTGCCATGCATTTGAATAAAATGATATTAAGGCCATCGTGATAATGACTCGTAATAGGGTCATACTTGTCATGAGAAATCTATTTTGTAAAATAGAATATTCTATTTCGTATTCCTTTTATGAAAACGTTTTCATATATTGTTTCAGAAGAAAAGATCAAGTGTGGGTGGGTGTGAGCATTACTGTCAGCTTTACTCACACTCATACTCATACCCCACACCCACACTCCACCCACAATTATTGACAAACACTACTACACCAGGTAATCAGCTTACTCGTTCCGTCCGAATTACAATTCAAAAGTAATGATAAGTGTTAAGAAAGAACTACAAAAAAAAAACCAAGGTAATTTTATTATTATGAAGGATTTTACTAAATTCATTCATCATTTGACGTTGAGAAACTAAAGACATCAAATTGTAGAGTAAGTTAAGACTGATCAAATGATACATAGTAAATCCTATTATCATTAGGCTTTGAAATAAACCAAAATCAATTCTTTGATAAATGACTATGCGTACATCGTGTGAACAGAGAGTAATCGTTGTGGTCTTTTTGCATCAGTCGTAAATGTGTGCAAAAAAAATTCATTTTAACAGTTTCATAAATCTCCCTATAAACTGGAAACTTATTTAGAGAAAATCGTCGATCATCTTCTATTTGAGGGAAAAGAATGTGATTTTCACTAATGTTTTGTATGCATATGTTTCAAAGTATGTAAAGCACAGAAGAGACATGACTAGCAACTAAACTTTCTGAAAAACTGCCAGTAATTTACTATCACATAGCTCATCATTTAGAGACTAAATCGCCCATGTAGAATGTGATTTATAAGAACATCTGCATCACAATATGCTAAGTTTCACAAGTTCTGGATAGGTAATTAATCTGAGTGTCTTCATAATAATGAGATCTTGCTCGTTTGTTTGCATAGCATTGCATATTTAAGAATTTGTTGTATTAAACAACTAAATACAAAAAAGATAGTACAAAACTTTTTCAGTAGACTGTAACAGTCAAAATTCTCCTTTGATACCAAGTAATCTTTATAATATAGATACTTATTTGAACAAATTTGAAACTTTTATGACTGAAATGATGAACAAGCAGCCGAGTAATATCACAATATCTTGTATCAAATATTTTTATACAACACATAAACTCCATTATAACAGTGTCTAAATTATAAATGCATTAGAATGTTATGCCCCTACATGTTGTTATATATCGTAGTCTAGGTTGGATGCTTTCATCAAACAGCTGATTAAAATTATTTTTAACTAAAATTACAATAAAATATAATGTAAAACATCTACTGAACTCGAACTTTTAACTCATGAATTAGAATTACAGCAGTATAATGATAAATATTTTCATGATTTTATTTCAAATTTGAATTTGGAAGAGAAAAATTTACGGTATCAAAGACTTGAGAAAATCAGCTAATTCTGAAAGTTTAGTCTTTGCTTGATTTTTAGCGTCTTGTCGACTGTATCCTCCATTGCTAAAATCAGTCTGAAGCGCATTTCCACATTCATTAAAGAACGTTGAACAATCAGTTATATTATTAATTAATTTAAATTGATTTCCAGGAGCCTTTGTATAATTCAGAGTATTGGCAAAAAATTGCTTTGTTTGATTCTGATTTTGTAATTTCTCATTGATCTTCATCAATGTAAAATTGGCACGATCAGGGTGTTGAACGACGTATGAACAAATTCCATTTATGATTTTACTTATCGGATCGCCCGATGAAAACCATTGCTGTATTGCTGATATAATATTCTGAAAGATGGTACCGAAGCTCAAAGGTGAAACTGTACTGATACAAGTATAACACTGTAAATAAAGATATCCATAATTTAAAGAATTTAGTAAATCAGTAAACGCTTACTACTAGTATGAAGAAAATACCAGTCAAATTCATGATGAAATTTTTGAATTGATTACTCAGTTTTGATGCATTTATATACTATTGATGCTGACTATAAGAAAAATTACTGTCAGGTTTGTTTTTTCTCTGCCAATAAGAATTTTTTTTAATGATTATACAAGTTTTAAGATGTATTAGCGAATAATTGTGTAAATGACAGTGACAATTTACTGCTTCAAATGAATGAAAAATGTACGCTCATCGTTGGTCTAGAACTCAAATAGCTCGGGTATTTTACAAACGATAAAGATTAAATACTTTTCTTTTATGACAGAGCAGATATGAAAGAATGTTATGAAAATAATTGTACTTATTTGTATAGAAGGAAACATGAATGGTTTATGGTGAAAAACAGTATGAAAGCATGAATAAATCAAAAGAAATAAATGTAACGATAGTTGTGAAGAGAAAAGAACAGGGACCGTTGAGAGTACATTTCTGCCAACTTAAAAAATGATGGTAGATTCATCTCAATTATATGTTAGCAGTCATTACTCGACATTTTGGCTTCAACTGTTATTTTTTTTTCTTTTATTTTGATACATCAAATGCCCGAGCCCTAGATATAAGAAAAAATGTATCGTAGAGTAGGTATTAGTTAAGAATTTTATGTGCAGTTAGAATTCTTGCAGTGATATAGAAGATTCACATTATGACTCCCCGCATGCGTATACCAAAAGCACTAAAGGTTATATCATTCCTTTTCCTCATCGCCTGCCATCAGCTCCTAGAATTAACACTCCCACCACGTTAGGCAATCGAATATTTTAAACCTCATAAAGTATACTATGAATGATAATTTTCTCGACTGAAGGAGGGTCATATAAAATAAAAAGTAGCTTGTTTGCTTGTCGCAAGGTCAAAAAACATCAGGATAAAAAACATTCACGGTGAATTTTCGATAGATCTTCACGAAAGCAAATCGAGATCAGAGAGTTCGAATCTGAAGTCAACCTTTTGAAAACTCTCATAGTTGTTTGCATGAAAAAGTTAATTCTTGTGAGAAAAAGTCATTTGAAAAAAGATAACTCGAAATATGGAAAATTTTTTCTGCGTAATTGAAATCTGTGACTGATGTTTTGTTTCGATATTCTCTTCACAGTATTGTTGTAGGCATGGGTCGGAGTGTGACCTAATGTTTTCGGTGATTCCTATTTATTCACGGTGATTTCTGAATTAAGTAGCTTTTTTTGTACACTCTGTTTAACTCGAAAGAAGCAGCACACAAAGAACTTTTAAAGTGATGTTACAGCCTCTTGGGTAAATGCAGAGTAACCAATGGTTATTTGAATATATTCCAATAATTCAGCAAATGTCTATGAACAAGACCAGTGAGAAGTACTGATAAATGGCTGCGTGCTAATATTGCAGACCCATTATGATGCTTTTTAACAAATGATCTACATGAAACCTGCATTTATCAAGAATAATCAAGAAAGATTCTTCAAATCAGGAGTACTAATAAAACTGTAACATATTGGCTAAGCAATGAAGTTGAAGGAATCAGAATTAATAATAGGAAAGTATTGGGTCGGAGAATCTCATCTAAAACGATTGTGTTATAAATCTGAGTTTTTCTAAATAAGAACGATCTGGCATTTAATAGGGTTTGAGTGAAAAGAATGCTCTGATTGGAAGAATAAGATCACAGCTGCTGCACTGAGCTATCTCCAGAAGTCTCACTTCAAAGTTTTAGGATACCTT